AGTCTATGAAAATCAGGTCAGCTTAAAGAAGTGCTCAACTATGGAGGTTCTACTTTACATGATGTTATGTTAATTAGGGCACCCACTTAAAGGAAGAAGCTGGGAGAACCAGTTTCAGCAGAGAAGAAGAAAGTGATTTAATAGTTGATATTTCCCTGTGTATTTCTTTGATCTGACATGCCCCTGTATAGCAGTAAATGCCTTGACAAGAAGGTGAGTGAAGGGGCAAATGTTGAATCAGTCATCATTTTTGACAATGTCTTCCTAGAGGAGCAGCAAAACAAAATGCTGACAACACAACCTCCATGATAAGCCGGGTTTTGAGAGCCTCTGAGTGTCCTCTATTCTCTACTTACTATACAGAAATTTATCAAAAGGACAAAGAAGGCAAGGGCTCTAGTTTTCATGGAAGGATTTAGGAGGCCTGGACCACCACCATTACCTCTCCCTAATCCTGGCAAAAAAAAATTGTTAGCCATTAATGTTCAATATTTATTATAGCTAGCAGCCAAGTTTTAGATAACATGACATTTATTTATAATACTTATAATAATTGACTTTAAAATGTAGCTTTTAGATAGGCACTTTGGCAAAAAGCAGAAATTCTCACGTGCCAACACCCATCCACAGGAGCCTGGGTATCTCACAGTGACTTTACAATGTTTCACAAACACTGTTAGACACCTCCTCAGTGGTACATAGGAAATTCTGAAAAACCCCTCTGTATTTCCAATTTTCATTATTAAAAATGATGACAGAGTAAATCCTATCAGACCAACCATCTTCCTCCTAACAACTTTAAACTCGAGACAAAATGTTAAAGGCACAAGAGGATAACCAAAAGCAGGCAGAAATGGGAAAGATAGAAGCCTTGGAAAAGAAGGAAGCAAACTTTATGAAACCCAATTTACACAGCCAGTTTCACCCCCGAGGTACTGCCCAGTCCATTCAGAAGATGAATAGTGTGCAAGCAGGAAATGGAAGTCTTTTTGAGCTGAGGCATCAGAGGTACTTGGAGCAGTCAGAGAAGCTAGGCTTGAGGAGAAGAAATCCTGGAAAAGACAGAGCCCCAGAGGGGTAGCCCTAAAGATGTGAGCCCCCCAACTCTGCTCAAATCCTTAAATGATTCCTGAATGTGCACGAGGAATTTAAGTTCAGAAACACAAGAGGAAGCAAGAGCCGGGAAGCTGAGAAGACTGAGCAGACAGCTCCTGCTGTTGGGGAAACAGAGGTCTGAATCCAGGTCCTGCCAAACCAGAAGGGCTTGATAAATACCCCAGAGCTTGGTAAAACTCCTCACACTTTTCACTGTGGCTCTAGAAGGGTCACATTCTGGGAATAAAGACTATATCCCAGGAGTAAGATTTATATGGTTGAACCAAGGGCAAAATAGAGGTAAACCTACCCTACTGGTGTCTAAAGCCAGGCATCCAGAGGTTGAAGATGACATGCCAGCAATGTAACCACCTACTAGAACAAAACATTCTACAGTAAAAGGTAAACTTTAAAATGTATCACCCACATGTCCAGCGAATAATTAAAAAGTATCACACCTGTGAAAGGAAATTGTCCCCATTGTCAAGAGAAAAAAGAGTTGACAGAAATATCCACAGACAACCCAAATGTTAAGAATGGGCAGACACGGACTTTAACTACAATAAACATGTCCTTAAAATAGACATTATATAAATTGTAAAACTCATAACCTCATCTACCCAAGAGCATCCCAGTGAACTTGAGCTTCCCATAATTTTTAACCAAATTGGGATTTGGAATGGTTTATATTTGAAAGCCCAAAGCAAATAACTTGAAAGTGATTAATGACATCAAAACTTAATTATGTATTTATACCTCCCAGTATGACAAGGGAAAAAACAAAATGTCTTCTCTCTCTGTAGTGAGAAGGTTTTATTAAGACCTGACAGCAGCTATTTAGCAGCAATAACTTGAGTTTTAGGCAAGATTATACAGGTTCTCCTTGTCTGGCATCAAAATCTAATCACAGACTGATAGGGTACTTAGGCTGCTAACAGTTGAGAAAAAACAGTTGCACTGAGTGCAAAACTAATCTTTAAAAGTACTTATCCTCATCTGTCAATGTGATATTATCGAGGACTTTTATAATTTCTATAAACAATCATTATATTCTAGCTGAGTCAAAGGCATTATGCTGTTTTGTCAGTTACCGTCTACTTTAAAACTTTTCTCCCAATTCCCACCCCCTCATAAAAGAAATTTGGCTTCAATTTTCTCTTCTTAATCCACTAAGCCATCTCATAAATAAAAAGATAATCACATGTTCTGCATGCCTGGCACAATTTTGATAAACCCTGTAAGTGTTTTAATATTTATTTACTATTTTGGTAAAAATAATACTTACTGAACAAGCTGAATTACCTTCCTTCCCCAGGGAAAAATGCAAGGTTGGTGAAAACATACTGAAAGGTCTGCTAAACCAACATTATTTTTGCTTAAAATTTTGTGAAGGTTGGCACAGCACTGTGGAAATTGACTCAGCCTCCTGTGCTTGCTTTTCCTGTGTCCAGTTATGTTCACCCTGCCACTCCTGAAGATGCTACTACTACTTTTGCTGAGGTAGGGAAATATTCCCTTTTCACACGTTTGGTTGTTCATCTTGGTCTCACAAAAGGATGGCCTCACCAATTTTTCTTCTTACTCTCCCTTTCTCCAGGAGCTATTTCCCTCACAATAGGCCGAAAGATATCTGAGAAACATACTGAGGGCTATATCCACACATAGTCCATCCTATCAACAATTAACCAGTATCCAAGCACATAATATAGACAGCTCCACTTTGATTAACCACAAAGTAAGTTCCTTGCCCCTAGCAATGTTTCTTCCAGAAACTGAGGGCAGCTTTGTCTCCTTGACCCTGGAAGGGAGTCTGAGGCTAGCAACCCACAAGTCTGCTTCCACCCACAAGTGACCCTCAGAGTCCTCTCCTGGTAAGTGCTCAGAGATTGGTCTCCCCTAAATACCACAAGTATACATGCCAACATGTAGGGTCTATTTGAAATTCTCCCTGCGTAAGTCACTAAGTTGAATTACCTCCAAATAGAACTAACTAACTTCCCTCTCTATATGATGTTATCATCTTGAATACTATGAGGAACAAATAAAACTCTCAAAGGAGATAACTACTGCCTTTTTATTGAAGATAAATGAATTAAGAGACATGTGAATGGTGATGTCTGCTACACAACTTTTAGTTCAAGAAACACATTGTTGAGCAATAGGTCTTGTGCTGGGCAGTAACTATACAAAATGCGTTCAGACCAGGACCTCACAATCTTGTGGGAGAAACAAACACATCAACAAGTGATCATATCACAAGGGATTAACAACCAAGAAAGCTGAACAATCAAATAAAGCGGCACCTGAGGCCCAGAGGTCACAGAGAGACTAAACAAGATTTCCGTGGCCAACCCTGAAGTATTAAGTTCCCTCCCTTATTATCTCCAGTCATATTTCCATTCTTAGAGGATAACACACGGCACATTTTTTTCCAGCTAGAAAGACTAAGTGAGCAGCCCACAATCAGTTACATAAAAACTTTCATTTCCAATGTTATCTTTATTCCAATCCAAACAACCCACTGTTAAGCTCTACTGTCATCACAGCTTAAAATATTTTCACTTTGGTGAAAAATAATTGTTTCTGACTTGGAAAAAAGATCTTGTTTATGACATTAAAGAACTTACATCCTCATGTCAGAATAAAGTTAACTGGGCAAAAAAGTCATAATTACATTTTTGGTGTTCAATTGAATATCCAGGAAAAAAAACACAATTAGATTGGATAAACTCACTTAAAACACTTAAAATGTTTATCAAGCAAGTACCTCCCCCAAAGCAAAGAAAAGCTATACCCCATAAAAAAGCAGAAAATGAAGAGAAATGTCATATCATCAAGTCTTACTTTCTCAAGATTTCTCATGAAATAAATAGAATGGATACATTTTCCTGTTGAAAATTTTCAATTGACATAGAAGAAAAAAATGGTCTATATGAAATCTAGAAAAGCTATTTATGAAATTATCTCACAAACTTCCTCAAAGTCTGTCTAGACTAGATGGTTGGAGAAGATGAAAAAAAATACCTTTGAGCCAAGAACTAGCCCACATTTTCCAGTTCATCCCTATACCTAACCCCTATGATGCACACCCACAGCCTCTGCAGCCCACCCCACTCCACGTATGTGGATCTATCTTCCTTCCTCACTGTCTCCCTTTCAGAACTAGATTTTTTATACTAGAAAAAAAGTCTCATAGGACTGTAAAATTCACTTATACTGACCAGAATTAAAGTTGCTATCTATTTGGTTTGACTTAAAAACAAAATCAGAGCTAACATTGTTGAAGGGAGATTCTAAGATTATGCCTTAAACTGAAAAATTAAAAAGAATGCATTCAACATATAACTAGCCACTCACTGAAAAGTCTTTTCTCAGAATGACAAAGATAAGAGTAAAATAGCAAGAAGTTCTTATTAACCATTTATCTAATATTCACATCCTTACCCACCCCCCCCACCCCCCGCAAAAAAAAACGGCATCGGGAAAAGTTCAAGAACCAAGCTAGGTGCAATGGCTCACATCTCTAATCCCAGCACTTTGGGAGGCTGAGGTTGGAGGATCACCTGAGGCCAAGAGTTCAACACCAGCCTGGGCAATATATAAAGACTTCGTCTCTACAAAAAATTAGCTAGGCATGGTGATGTGCGCCTGTAGTCAGTCTCAGCTACTCAGGAGGCTGAGGCGGAAAGATCACTTGAGCCCAGCATTTTGAGGTTACAGTGAGCTGTGATCACACCATCGCAATCCAAACCTGGGCAACAGAGTAAGATTCTGTTTCTTAAAAAAAAAAAGAAAGTTCAAGAACCGGTAGCATTTCCCAGAAGCATTAAAAATAGACAAATCAAACCAAATATTGTACAGTGTCCTAATGTAATAAGAAAATATACAAAGACTAAAAAACTTACTTGCAGTATCCTGTGCCATTGTGGTAGGTGACACACATTCCTTTATTTACACAGGGTTCATAGACATCCCGACACTGCAGTGCTAAAAATAAAAACAAATATACATGAGAAATAAGTCACTAATCATAACCCTCAGCCACCAAAGAAGTGTGATATAATCCAGATCAACATTCATTACCACATCCAACCTGATCTGGGAATTTTAATCAGTTTTTCATCTTTTGGCTTTTAGCACAAAGGCTCATCCCCAGAGTCTCTTCCTACAATCCTGTTTTTGTGGTCTTGCATGATGCTCTTCCTCTGTGCTTATGTATCCCCAGCTGTTACACTTCTACGTCCCAATGATATAAGAAAAGAAAAGCTGTAATATCTATGACATGCCATATCATCTTGGCATTTGGATACTTCAAAATAAATAATGTAAGGATTCATCAGTGGGTATTTTAGGAAGATAACAAGGTAAATACTAAGTCACCATATTAATGAATTAGCCTTCAGGTAAAGTTTTAAAACAGACCACTTCAAGAAACATCATTAATACTCATTAAACAAACTAAAATTAAGAGCCTCACATGTACCAAGCACTACATTAGGATCCAGAAAAAAAGGACAAATGAAATACACAAATAAATGAGCAAAACATAATCTCTAAATTTTAGGAACTTACAGAAAAATGGGGAATAGATCATGAATAGATATTGTGATGGGGAATAAATAAAATGAGAAGTTAATTTTATACATATAAAAAAAATTCTCACACTCTTGATTCCCCCAGTCCCTTGAGTCCCTCCCACAAACAGACTATTAAAAACAAATAAACAACAACAAAAAAGAACAGCACTTTCACTGATCTCAGCCAGGGGGGGAAGACGTCTACCTCAAGTCTGCTACTCAATTGCTGGATAATTACAATATCTTGATTGATTGTCTGGCCTTTAAGGTTGAAATTTTCATCACCAAAATATGAACTCATATATATATATATATGTCTATATATCTAATATCTATATAAAGAATCCTAACAGAAAGGCAAGACATAAACCTAATCAAACAATAAAAATCAAAATTGAAGCACATAAACTCTTTTGGGGGGCATATTAAGATATCCATTCCCTAGGATGGTTCATGTATAAATATCTCAAAGCAAAACTGAGAAGTCCCACCTCTGAGTCTTCTCCAGCCACACCACTCTATGTGTGAACTGTGCAGTAGCAGAGGCTCTGAGGCCACCGGTTCTGGACATCAAAACCAGCAGCCCAGGCTCAAGACGGATGTCAGAACAACTCCTCCATTAACAATTACTGCATTAAGAGCCCTTTATTTGCCCAGTACTGTATCAAGCTGTGGAATCAATTGAGAACATGTTTACAGAAATCTCATCTCATCCTTAAAATAATTATTTTTAATACTAATAGTAATAACAACAGCAGCTAACACAGTGTACTTACTAAACACAAAGTACCGTCCTAAGCACTATACATAGATGAACTAATTCAGTCTTCACAACAACCCTATGAAGCAGTTAACTTCATCAGTGGGTATTTTAGGAAGATAACAAGGTAAATACTAAGTCACCATATTAATGAATTAGCCTTCAGGTAAAGTTTTAAAACAGGCCACTTCAAGAAGTAATCAGAAACATCATCAATACTCATTAAACAAACTAAAATTTGACTTCATTAGACTCATTCCATAGGTGAGAGAAGAGAGAGGATAACTGACTTGCCTATTATCAAACCAGTGAGTGAGAGCGCCAGAATTTGAATCTAGGGATTCTGAATCCAGACACGGACAGACACCATTCCCACTACCCGATAATGCTTCAAGTAGGCAGGGCGATAATATCATACCCCCTTACTGGAAAGTGAAGGTCAGGAAGGTTACATGACCTCTTCATGGGGCACCGCACTGTCAGCTGGTGGCACTGCTGGGCCTAGCACCCAGGTCTCTTACTAAGTCCAGCCCTTCTCCATGACAGCTGTTGGGATCACACAGGCAGTCACTAGGATGCTGGCCTGAACAGGCAGATTCAGGAAGAGGGTCATCTTGTCCATATCCCACTTCCCTGTAAGACTCAAATGCTCCCTCTTCCCACACTGATAAGCTCAATGCAACAACTATAATTAAAACAGTTAATGTCAGGTTATTTCCTCCATACCAAAGTTCTCAAACTGATATTTTCATTCTCTTTAGACACTTTTATTAGTTTCAGTGAGAACTTCCTGGCTTTTTTCTATTTACTTTTTTTCTTTAAATTAAAAAAAAAAAATCTCAGTAAAAAAGAAGTGCTCTGCAGGCACAAAACACACCACAGCTCTGTCCCCTGCAGGAACCCCAGCACAGTGGAGGGGGTCAGGAGGCCTGAAGTTTTGCCTCCACCCTATCTAGCTATTCAACCTCAAGAAAAGCACAGCCTCATGGGGGCTCACTTTCCCTGTCTGTAAACCAACTTGGGGGTGGACTAAATGCCCCTGAAGGTTCCCTGTGAATCAACAGTGACAGCTCCCTCATTAAAAGTACATGAATGGCATGCCTGGCACCTGGTGAAATCTATCCAGGAAGGCATAAGGACTCAACCACCCATGACTCAGAAAGCCAGGGGTGCAAAAAAATCATGGCCTGTTCCTATTAAGTGTCCTGGCAAATCATTACAGTGACAGGTTCAGAGAAGTACAAACAACCTAAAGTCAATATGTGGCAATCAATCTAACAAATAACTTTATAGCCTAGCCTTAGTGAACCAATGAAACTCAATGACTAAAAAGGAGGTGGGCTTTCCAGGCTAATAATTAATGCCATTTGGCTGATTTGTGGGATCATGCTACCTTGAACCTTTAACATTTACTAATGCATGGTTCTCAAACTTTAATAAGCATCAGAATCACCTCACGGGCTTGTTAAAATGCAGAGTGTTGGACCTGACCCCTTCAATTTCTGATTCAGTGGGCCCAGAGGGGGCCTGAGAATCTGCATTCCTAACACATTCCCAGGTGCTGCTGATGCTAGAGGGCTGAGGAACCACACTTTGAGAACCATTGTACTAAAGCATGAGTATCTACTTTAAAAATCCCCCAAACAAAATAATCTACTGTGGAGGCCTTGAATGATGCAGATGATAATGTACTGCCTTGATAAACAGAATGTGTAGAAAAGGGAACCCTTATACTCTGCTGGTAGGAATGGAAATTAGCACAACCATAATGGAAAACAATATGGAAGTTCCTCCAAAAACTAAAATAGAATTACCATATGATCTAGCAATCCCACTTCTGAGTGTTAACCCAAAGATTTGAAATCAGTTTCTTGAAAAGTTATCTGCATTCCTTGTTAACTGCAGCACTATTCACAATGTTACTAACTTAAATGTCCATCAACAGACACTATTTAATGGATAAAGAAAATGTGAATACACACACACACACACACACACACACCTGGAATAGTATTCAGCCTTTAAAAAGAAGGAAATTCTGGCTCGGCACCCTTAGCACAGTGGTTACAGCGCCTGCCACATAGTTAACTAGCTTGATTTAATTTTTTCCAAATTGTATTTGTAAATTATAATATCATTCATACATCATAAATTTTTATAATTATAAACTGTCATTTACAATAAAAAAGTATAATAAAGTAAAATTGGGAATTCAGCCTTACTCAGGGGCTACTTCTAAATGAATACTATAATTATTACTTTGCCAAACAAAGAGAAATTAAAAATTTTGATAACTTGAAACCACAAAAATGAGACTGGGAAAGACCTTAAATTCAATTCATATTTTTTCCAATGTAAACCAAATTTAACAATGAAATTAAAAGTAGATTCAAGTTTGTAAAGTTAAAAAAAGAGATGCTAAATCATACTTTAGATAGGTGACACACTTAAATTGATGCTTTGACTCTGAGAAATTATTCACTAACAAAAGAGTAATCCCCCCACCCCAGTTTTCATCTTAAGCCACAAACAGCAGGCACTCAGTAAATACTAGCTGGCTGGAATCAATCTTACTTACTCTGTATGCATGTGTATCTGCACATGCCCTCCCCACCCCTCTCCCATTACTTCAAAGAGAAGTAATGAATTTCAATCTCATCACCCCACCACGTGGCAATTTCCAATTTTCACACATTTTCAAGGCAGTGTATTTAGGGACTACCTTTTTATAATAGTCAGAACATACTTAGAAAGCATCTACTATGGCAGGTGCTACCTCTAATGTCAGAGATGCCACAGCTAATGGAATAAAGTCCCTATTCCATAAATTTTATTACTATTAGAAAAAAATGGATAAAAAAATGAATATACACATAAAATCATTTCAGAAACCCAGTAATGGAAAACACAAAGGCTGAAGGCATGTGGGCATCTTTAGTAGATTAAGTGTGTGGGAAAGGCCTCCTAAGGAGAAATCCTCTAACACTTAAATGAACAAGAGTCATGAAGACATGAGGAAAGACCCCTCCGGAAGAGGAAACAGCCAGTGCAAAAGCCTTAAGGTGGAAATGAAACTGATATTCTAGGTTCATATGGCTGGAAGATTATTAAGGAGGAAAGTAAAGAGGTCAGGGAGGCAGGTAGGGGTCAGATGACAAAAGACCACAGTAAGGATCACAGCTTCTACTCTGCGAGGGAAGGTGAATTACTTGGGCTGTTTTAAAAATAAGGAAAATGACACAGATTTATGTTTGAAAAAGTCAAGAATATGAAATGCTCCTTTTTTTTTATTTTTTCCCCTTCTTAGATAAGCTTATTTAAGTAACCCCTTTGTAGACTAGACTGAAGACATCCATTTTCCCAGCTCCCCTAAAATGGTAAAGATTTTATTCTAATAGCATCTACCCTTCTAGAAGCACCACTTGTAATGTGTCACCCCACTACTCTCTACCTGCAAAGACAACTTTCAGTTCTTCCTTGGCTCCCAGAACTTACTCAATTTGCCTCTCAGAAGAGCCAGCTGGGAGGTCCATGACATACCATCCCACAGTACCAACCCTGATACTTTTCCTTCCAGAGACAAGCTATTTCTTACTTCAGCTAATCTGAACTGTCACACTGGTCTTCGAGATCAGCACCTCCCTTACCTG